TTAATTAGGATTTTGCAATTTTAATTCTTTTCATAAAAAAAAATATAAAAAAATGTAGAATTTAGGTTTAATTGTCAATTCTTTTTTTTATTTCCTTTTTTTTTTCCATAAATATTATTATTTATTTATTTATTTTATTTTTATAATTAAATGTATATAAATAACTTAGATTTAAATTAGGTTAAAAATTCAATCTTTTTCTTAATAACTTAAAAAACATTAGAATTAGGGTTTACATCCAATTTTGTTGTTTTAATTAATTCTTTTTCTTTTAAATCTTAAAAAAACACAAAAATACCAAAACATTTCATTTTAATTTTAATTCTTCATTAATTTTAATTTATTGCAAAAGGGTCCAACGCCCATGTTCATAATGTATTTAATTTGCGCATTTATTTTATGTCATTTATTATAATTATGTACATGTCCCAAAGCCTTGTAACTTTCTTTCTCGCACTTTTATTTTATTGCTTCTTTACTTTCAGTCAAATCGGGTTCGGTTTATTTTGGCGATGTGGACCCGCGCCATTTGTAATAGTTTAGATTTATTTTCTCGCAAATATATAACTGTTAATAAATATGCATGAAAGAATGTATGGACTTAAAAATAAAATCAAGCGTAGATCACAACAAACATGACAAGACAAAATAATTGAAACATGACACACGAACCGCACACACCACCCCTAGGGTACGCCTCACTGTTGCCTTTCGAAAGGTGATCGTCGAGTAGAGGATGTCTTAGTAAGTCCTCATGATCCGGGAACCTGGCATGAGGGTAGCTTCTAAGGTGTCTTCCCATTACTCCGGTGATCACCATGTCCCTAAAACTCGAATTGACCCGAACACTTCCAACAGTGGTGCTACCTACCTCTCAATGGTGGGATGGCACTACTTTAAAGGACATTTACACAGACGAATTCCTTAGGGTAGGTAGGTTCTCAAGGATACTTGCTCTAATTTCAAACAAATCAAAATACTTTTCACACCAACACACTTTCAAAAACTTTCAAAACAAACTTTTCAAACACTCTGACGTACGAGTTGAACTGAAACTTTTCAAAGAATATTTTTGAAACCCACATTGAAAAGCAAGCAAACATTTTGAAAACACATTGAGCAAGTATCTAAGAGCCCATGGATAACCATGGATAGAAAGGGTGCTAACACCTTCCCTTTCTATAACCTACCTCCCGAACCGAGAGCAATCTCTTTTAAGGAATTTTTCTGTGCTTTTATCCTTTCCATTTGGAGAAAATAAAAGACGGTGGCGACTCTTGCTTCCGCGACATTTCGCGAACCAGCTTTTAAACAGTCAGTTCCAGATCCACCGATCACATCCTCCGTTTCTACAAAAGAAACATCCTCGCCAGATTCTGGATTCCGAAAGCGCTAGTCACGGACAACGGCACCCAATTCACCGACCACGGGTTCCGAAACTTCGTCACCAAACTAGGAACCAAACAACATTTTACCTCGGTCGAATACCCCCAAACCAACGGGCAAGCCGAGGCTGCCAACAGGGTCATCCTGCGAGGACTTAAACGCCGACTCGACGAAGCAAAAAGAGGGTGGGTCGAGGAGCTGCACAGCGTCTTATGGGCCTATCGCACCACGCCCCACTCAACGACAGGCGAAACTCCTTTTCGACTGACATACGACACTGAGGCCGTCATCCCCGTGGAGATCAGGGAACCCTCAAGGCGGACAGAAATGCCTCTCGACGAGGAAATGAACGACGAAGCACTTAGAGACAAACTCGACCTAGTCGAGGAAATTCGATCAGGGGCAGCCCTGCGCGAGGCTGCTCTAAAGCAACAAATAGCCCTACGGCATGACGACAAGGTCATCAGACGCGAGTTTCAGATCGGCAACCTGGTGTTGCAAAGAAACCAGAAAGACTCCCACGAAGGGAAACTGGCCACGAACTGGGAAGGACCCAATCGCATCCATGGCACCACGGGCACCGAGGCATATCACCTCGAGCAGCTAAACGGAGAACCGTTACCACGACCATGGAACGCTGCTAAGCTAAAGCAGTACTATAGCTAAAGCCCTTAAACACTAAGGACTTTCGCCGTCGAACATCCACATCTAGTCAACAGAGATAAATGTCTCGACCACATAGATAGGCCAAGGTACGGGCCCGATCTACACCTAAACGACATAACATCGTTCAGCCAACGAGGTCGAACGACAATGCCCGACAGGGACACCTCAATCGAGCTCCACTGTCGAAAGTACCCACATGGCAGAACACCCAGCTCGCGATGGGCAGTTCACGTCGCAGGCATACGACCTCGATCTGGGTCATACGCTCGACACGTGGGCTTCACTCTGCACAACCGACGCATTTCGAAGTACGTCGGACCACCAAAGGGGTCGAAAGGATATCTCTGCTCGAGGACATAACTTAGACAAATTTCGTCACAAAGTAATAGTCGAATACAAGCTTAGCTCAAGGACATAACTTAGACAAATTTAGTCACAAAGTAACAGTCGAATACAAACTTAGATACGAGCAAGTTAACGCGAAATAAACATCCATAAAAAAAAAGCTTATACATAAGAAAAGTTAATTGTGAATCGACCAAAATGGTCGGCGATGTTCGGGGTTACAAGCCATGGCACGACAGCCAAAAGAAATAAGCACGGGCACGCAGGCCCCAAAAATGAGCACGGGCACGCATGCCCCAAAATAAATAAAACCAATATGCAGGCACGCATGCCCGAACAAAAACTTCACGTTAAACGTCCCCAGGACTACCAGTATCTACCACAGGAGACTCAGGAGGAGGCACGACCTGACCGTCAGTAATCTGAGACATGAACTCGACTCCCTCGGTATTCATGCCCGGATTCAGGATGGCGAGTTGGCTGACCGCGACCTCGAACCCATCGGCTAGGGCACCGACATAGTCCATCTCAAGAAGGTGGATACGCACAACCAAATCTGAACGAGTCCGCAGAGAGGCTGTCTCCTCTGACTCATCGTCGACAGGAAGCATAACAACTTTTAGCTCCTCGACTTCCTTGGACAGATGGTCGTTGTCACTCTCCAAGCGTTCCTTGTCCAGTTGGAGGCAATCCCTCTCCCCAGCAACCTTCACAGAGTTTTCCTTCTCCCCTGCCAGCAGGACGGCTTGCTCGTGGAACATTTCCTCAGACCGCTCGAGGGACGCCTTTAACTTACGAGAACTGGCAGTAAGAGCGGATTTCTCTGACTCCAACTCCCTAACACTGTCCGAGGAGTCCGACCCTTCCTCGGCAAGGACCACGACCATCTTGGCCATCTTCACCATCCCGACCATACTAGCGTCGAGGTGTTTCCTCCGGCTCTCTTTGTCTAGCCGTCTAATAGTCTCGGCCTCGTCATTGCTCACTGTCAGAGGAAACCCCTCGAAGAAATCTTTCTCTTTGAAGCAAGGGGTAAGCCAAAAGCCCTCGCAGCTACAAACTCGTCGCCAACCTCCAACCTGTTTTCATCTCAACTTCTCTTCCTGGGAATCAGCTCAGTGGGTTGCTCGGCATCGGGAGAGCCCGAGGACCCACTAGAGGCATCTCCGCCTGAACTGGCCGGGGGCCCCATCCTCGTGGCTTGCGATGCCCTCACCAACCTTTTGTTTATTTTCTTGTCGTGGGTCAGCTTTAATAGCCTCTCTCGTCGTTCATCCATGTCGCCTGCAAAGAGGAGTAAAACCCGGGTTAGCTGTAAGCGAGCAAAAACAACAAAAATGGAATAAAACAATAAGAGCAGAAGCAAGAAACCTAGCAGATCTATGGCCTGCCCGTAAGATTGGCACTCGACGAGCGCCTTCGTGTTAATGGGACGAGCCTCGAATGTCGGGTACCCCTCCTCGTCGAGAATATCATCCCCCTCCCTCGTGACCCACCGGGCAGGGAAGAAGTTGTCGACGTACTTGCACAAGACAGCATATGCCTCCTCGTCCTCGTCACTCATGCTCCCCGCGGGTGTATGATAGTACCCGGTGCCATGGTCGTAATGGCCCGAGCACCAATGAATCGGAAACTTTGAAATACGCCCGACCGCCGGACGACCCTCAGCATCCACGAGGGGCTCCCCGTCCGCGTCGACCACCATGGTTTCCGATTCCAACAGGGAGTCCAAGGCGGTTTGGGTGACCGGCTGTAGAACATACCATTTATCCTTAAACCCCCTTACCGAATCTATATACATCCGGAACAGCCTCTTCGACTGTTTCAGGGACACCCAGCTGTGCCTGCCTCCTCGAGACTGACGCTGCAGGTGAAAGACCCTGAAGAAAAGGGGAATCGTCGCCCCGATTCTCAGGAAACAGCACGTCAGCTTGAATGCCCGAAGGAAGGCGATCGAGTTAGAGTGAAGCTGCGAAGGGGCCAGATTCAAATGGCTGAACACCCCGACTTGAAAGTCGCTGAAGGGTAGTTTAAGACCGAGATCCCTGAACACGATCTCGTACATAGGGAACCCGTACTCAGTAAACTCCGAGCATATACGTGCATCAATCGAAGACCTCATCACTACAAAATTCTTTTGAAAACCTGTCTGACTGTCGCCATGTTCGACGACAGTATAAGCACGCCGACTTCGCCGATAGTATGCTGAGGCAATCCCTTGGGGCTCGGCACCCACCCAGTCCAACATGGGGTCATCAATGGTGTCGACTAAAGTGACATTCTCCTCGGTACTTGTATCCTCGACTTCATTGTGCCTCGAAGATTCCGGTTCGTCGGTCATTTACCTGCAAAGCACAGGAAACTGGTGAATTCGAGAGCAAATCCGCGTGCTTGCCACAGAAACAGGAAGTAGCACACAACAAGCCGAGCACGGACACCCCAACTCCGACCACGCATTGGGGACAATGAGAGAGTAGCACGAACGCCCCGGGCGAAACATGAATCACTCGAGCAAGTTCCTGACTTTGCCTGCCCGACACTAGGACACTGCAAGAAGGCTACCCTACATACTTCCTAAAAAGGATGGACATCTCGGCCAGTTCATGGGCATGTCGACCAAACGCATGAATGTCACAAGCAGTATCACGAGTCATATGCCTAAAGCTATGAATGTCACGGGCAGTATCATGAGTCATATGCCTAAAGCTATGAACGTCACGGGCAGTATCATGAGTCATATGCCTAAAGCTATGAAGGTCACGGGCAGTATCGCAAGTTATGTACCTAAACTATGAGTTTACCGGGCACAATCATGAATCTACCGGGCACTACTCCCAGATATGGGTTTCTAATATAAAAAATAACATCAAAACTACCCACAGCGAAGAAAAACAAGAGGAATGAACACTTACTTGGAAGAAAAGAGATACGTACGATGGCGGTGGAAGTAATCAGCGGCGGATGGTGCGGTAATCTCACGGCGTTGCAGGAAATGGCGGCGGCGGAATCAGAGAAAGAGGGAGAAGCGCGAAGAGGAAAAACAAATTATAGGCCCAAGGGTCTTATTTATAGGGATGACGTGGAATACGAAACGTCGCACCGGGGAGCAGCGAACTTCCCCGTCCTCGACATCTACTCCCATAGGTAATGATGACCCTATTGTTGCTAGGGTGGCGTTACGATTCCCAAGGACTGCCTCGTGTATCCGAAAAAATGCAGCCCACGAGGACTTCCTCGAGCACGCCTCGACAAGGATTGCCCTGCGTATCCGACGAACGCAGCCTGCGAGAAGCTCCTCGAGCACGCTTCGAAAAACAAAAAGCCCTGGTCTGGCCATCAAGTTCCCGCGGTAAAAGCGAGCTAAGATCAAGTCATAACTCCTGCACCAGGAGCAACGACTTGAGGGGCTCCTATTCTGGACTGGGCCCGCCTTGGCCCAAAAGGCAGATAAAGGCCCAAACCCAAACAACTACTCGAGGAATGCTCACGAACGGACCATCACCGAACGTGCCCGACCACAGACTACAGCTGCCATGCCCGCGACAAGCAGTATCCCCGACCAAGGGAACACCAGCTCGAGCACCCTCCCCATAGGGCAGCTTCTGTCCACCCTAACCGTTGTAGAATCCTCCAAGCACCAGAAAGACCGCGTCTTCGTCCCTCCTTATTCTTCGCACAACATCACCAGGAAGGGAACCACGTGCGGGGCTCCACTACACACGTAGAACCTGGCAGTTCCTTTATTGGGCCAGTTCTGGTCGGCCCAATGAGGGGACCTTGGTCCAGCGTTGGGGGCTATAAATACCCTTTGTTCCAAGAGGGTCAGCTATTCATGTATTACGCACCTATACATTTTCTGCCTGCTCATTCTGTCTCTCATTTTAGCATCGGAGTATCTTGCAGGTACTCCCCCCCATCTCACTCAAATTCAGTTCGAGCCAGCCGTGACGGTCCAAGTCTGATCAGGTAAGATCAGTTTTGAATTGGAAAAGTTTCTTTTATGGTGGAATTATCTAATTAATCAATTAAAATATATTTATCTAATCAATTAAATTAAGTAAAAATCAGCTAACAAAAATTAATTAATAAAGTTGATTAATTAAAACATTTTAATTAATTAAAGAAATCAAAGGACTAAAAAGTGGTGATAAGTGAAGATTGAGACTAGGTCAAGGGCGTTGGCGTGTGGAAGCAAAGAGGATGGTGAGAAAATTAAACGAACCGGGTTGGGCCTAGAGGGCCAAACCCTAACATTCAGAAACAAACCCCAAGAGTCTTAAATTCAAATTATGTAGTCTTTAAGACTCTTCACTCTTGCGTTCACTCATCGTCCCTGTTTTTCACATTTTCGTTCCCATCATTCTGCCCCGGACGATTTTCAAGTTCTGCTGCAAATTTTCGCGATTGAAGAGAAAATTCACACGACTTCTGCTCTAAACACGGATGCGAGCTCAGAAAAATGTAAATAAACGACTATCTACCCTCACCCTTACAAAATCCCCTATGATCAGAGATATTACAAATTACACGGTGCAAGCAAAAAATAAACAAATAAACAAAAAATCAAAAGAAAACATGCGAGTGGAGACCCAGGTAATTCGTTTCTCTCTTGCTTTCCGCTGCTTCTATTTTCTCTGTGAAATTGGCTTGTCGTATCTACTATTACTCCTTCTTCTTTATTGTATGGTTGTTGTGTTGCATTTTGATTATTGTCATGTCTTGTGATACCTTACGGGAGTGTATGCTTGAATGGGTGAGGTGAGTAGTTGTTGTATTATGCATTTTCGGTGATGTTGTGAGGGTCATGAGGGATAGAATCAGTTTTTGTTACATGTATACATGATAATGTAGTGATGTTTCTATGTTTTTTTTTTATCCTTCTTGATTTTGTAAAATGGATTATGAAATAATAATAAAAACTCTAACTTGTCTTAGTCACCAAATTTGTCTTATTCTAAAAAAGGAAAATTAAAATCCAACCACTTGCTTCAATCCAATGAATCAATTAGAAATCAAAATCAATTTGTATGCAAACTCAATTATTCAGATTAATAATAATGCAAATGCAATAACAATGCAAAATAAATCAATTATTAATAAAAAATACAGATGCAATTATATAATAACCATTAATTAAATGTCAGTTCAAATGCGAATCCTACTACTAAAAAGTGAAAATTAATATGAATGTAAGATTCAATTTGAAAATGCGTTATGCAAGATGTCAGGTTTGCAGCAAGATTGTACACACAATAATGCACTACTACTACAGCTTTGGCAAAGCCTACTCTAACTTAGCAAATAGTGATAAGCAAGGAATTCACATTGTCTTCCTAGCTTCTCACAACTTAACTCAAGTAACCATGTGTCGCACCGACCTAATAAAATTCAAGATTTTAATTAACAGCATGGTAAACTCAAGTAACCATGTGTCGCACCGACCTAATAAAATTCAAGATTTTAATTAACAGCATGGTAAGAATTATGTAGTAGTAGGAAATGATGAGAAACTAAAGATTGTTGGAGCTGGTTCCTAGAAAATAAATTCACTCATCGTACATGATGTTTTTATATGTCCCTAATATCATCAAAAATCTATTGAGTTTGTTTAAATTAGTTGTTGATATTAACGTTCTTTATGAATTTGAGGAAAATTGATGATACTCATCATCATGGTTTATCAATAGTTTTTTTATGTTTTTAGCGGTATTTAGAGGTGAATTACATGGGGTAAAGATTAATTTTGGCAATATTTGAGACATGAGAAAGCTGTGAATTTTCAACACATTTCACATCATAATGTCTATCTAATAATTTGATCATATCTAGAGCTTCATAACTTCAATTGAGATAGGACTAACGGAATATGAAAGTTAACAAAAAATATATATGTATTAAAAAAATCGAACTACGATCTAGTCAAATCACAACACGATTCTGGATAAAATTTGAAAATCGCAACATGATCCAAAGAAATCACAACGTGATTTGTAACGCGCTTAACTTACTTTAAATAGTAGTTTTCCATATTTTTTTTAGGGTTGGTAGGTTTTGAGAGTAATTTGATGGAAGCAAGGATTCGAAGATGTAGGATTGAAGGTTTTTCTCCATGGAAGATCGATTTCCACCTCCAATTCATCCATTGTTCTTAAAAATTATAATTATGTGATTTAACGCACGTTATAGCCTATTTTGATTTCAAATTGTCCTAAGAAATTAGCGAATTATTAATAAAAGAGAGTTTAATACACCAAGAAATTTGATATAACGATTATATTAAATTTTTGTGAAATTAGAATATCATCTAAGAGAACACGCACAATTACTAAACATTAATAATTAATGGATTCGAGAAAAACCTAGTCGTTTAAATATTTTGATAAATTTTAATCTATTTTATATTCTTTCCTGTTAACCAACTTTTTCTTAGAACCTAAGCCTTTGTATGCGGGATGACAATGTCGGAGATTGTTGAATAATTTCAAAAAGAAATTTATTTGTGCTTTAGAAATAATTTTAATTTTATTTATTTGTTTTTATTTTTAGTTTTAGTTTTTCTATTAAATTTTGTTATTTAATTATTTTACATTTTATTATTAGTTTTGTGTTGAACGGTGCATCTTAGGTATTTCTTTTTCTTATTTTTTTCATGCGAGGTGACAACTCTCAAGGTATTTGATTCTAAAATCGAGAAAACAACAAGAGGAATTTATAAAGTTGGTCATTTAGCATGTGTAGCAGAAGATGTGCAGAAAGAATAAACATCATCATTATTGTGTGACAATGAAACTTATCAAGAGGAAGTAACTATGGCAAATCCACCCTCTAGGCAGATTATGGGAGATTATTGCAGAAAGACTGACGCGAGAAAATTTTCTCTTGGATTCCAACCGAAAAATCTTATGTAGTTTGATATCAAAAATATTATTCTTATAGGTTTCAGAGATAATTAATTTGATAGAAGTGTTATTAGCGACCTATGGAAACATCTTACTTGTTTATATGAGACTTGTTCTATGTGCTAACTAGAAGGAGTAATTGAGAGTCAAATAAAATTGAGACTGTTTGGGTTTATTTTAATTGGAAGAGTAAAAGATTGGTTGCATTATTTACATGGTGGGACTATCCAAGCTTTCATCGAGTTAGAAGACAAGTTCTTTGAATGATAGGGATGAGGACACTAAAATTCCCCTACTTCTTCGAAGACCTTTCTTGGAAATAGGTAAAGCTTTAATTGATGTGGAGTTATGTGAGCTGATATTGAGATTTTAAGATGAAAATGTAATTTTTAATGTGTATTAAGGTGATGTGTCATCATAATGAAAACCATCATCGTTATCATGTTGACGTAGTTAAAGATGCATTTGAGGAAGTTTCTCAAATTAAGTCGCCCTTGTTACTTATTGATTTTGTTACGGTGAATTCTATTGAAACAATTAAGGAATGACAAGATTAAAAAGTAAAATAATATGCGTTATAATTAAAAGCGTGTCATATCGATAAGATACAAATCAAATGTAAGACTTTGATTAATCTTGAACTAAGTGTCTTAGTGGCAATGGTGTCTTAGTGGCAATGGAAGCTCAAAAATCTAATATCTTTGAAGTAAATGAATTTCCTCCATATTCAAAGCATTTTTCCTGGATAGAATAGTTGATACCACCTTATCTCATTAGTAGATCTTTATCTAGTTTAGAGAAAGAGAAGCTTAGAATAATGTTGATAAAAAATAAGGGAGCACCTGGATTAATTTTTTTATTTAAAGGGGAGAAATATGAGCAATTGCATGGATAGGATCAAGTTTGATTCCAAACCAATTGAATACACTGGTAAGTTTGAAAGAAGCATATGATTATATGACCAAATGGTAAAGCTAATGACTTTAAAAAGGGCAACGTAGGAGGAAATCCATAGATTTGTGTGATTTAATTTTTAGTTTTGTTTTGCTTTCCCTTTTTGTCAATTGTACTACTTCTTGAAATTAATGATCTGGTTTGTTTTCTATTATTTTTTAAAAGTTTAACAGTGTTGCTTATTCACCAATGATACCACGAGAGAGAAAAATATATAATACATCAAATAAAAGAAAAAAAGATCAGGGTTACCAAAGTTAGTTATAAATGTAGATTAATATATAAAGAAGAAGAA